GTAATAAAGGAACGAACATACAAAGTTTCATTGAAAAAGATTTATTGGTCATGAAGTTACAACTGCTGGCGTAACAAAAAAGTGCAAAAAATCAAGTTTTGAGCAAAAAACGAGTTTAAAGTTTTTCAATGCTTGTACAACAGGATGATGGCGCTCTACACAGTTAAAATCCACCAGGCACATAGGTAGGGCCCTCCTTAGATGCCATGAGCTCTTTTTTAGCTTTTGTTGCTGCCCGTCTTTTCTTCCGGTGTTGTTTTGCTTCGCCAGTCGACTGACGCTGGGCCTTCCTTACACGGCGCTGGTCCCTAGTGTAGCATGCTACGATAGCGTAGTGGCCAGGTTCGATGCCTGCTTCTTTCAAAATAGCCAGTACACTTCTGTTACCATCATTGAAGTGGCACACAGCATCGTATAAACCAAAAAGTAGGATGGGCAGTCTCACGTGAACGTCTTTGCGAACCCGTTGCCAAATCATACCGTTGAAGCACTCGTTGGCGTTTTGGGTTTTCCCGTGCAGGCACTTCTTCAAAAGCTCATCCGTGCAAAGGTCAGCGTACATAGGCTTCACTTTGTTAAGTACCTCATTAGATAGGCCTCCCTTGTGCTTGTAGTATCCACTTCCCAGTGCGTTCCGTCGGTTAAAACCGCACCAACTCTCGGGGCCAAGAGGGCACAGACCATGCCTTGGAGTTTTTTCATCTGTGGAACTGCAATGGAACAGGTTCGCTAATGTGGCTTGCTTCATTGCCTGCAAGTCTCCCACATTTGTTCTGATGGCAATACCATAATAGTTCTGCAGCCTGTCAATTAGAACATCTGTTAATTTTCCTTTCCCTCCAAGTCCGCGAACAGTCTTTTTGAGCTTTCGTAGGCGGCATCCTACACGCTTCTGCACGTGCCCGATACACTCAAGTTTGCGCACACTATTTGGCCCATATATGTCCTTTATGGCCGCATGGCTCTTGGAGTCGCCATCTCCATAGAAGTCTACATATTTCAAACCACGACTTCTTTCTGCACGCTCAAACATACGGTAGAGCCCTACTGCCTCCATACCACCAGCACTACCGGTATAGTTGGCTTGGCACTGAGTATGGTTTGCCTTCCACTCCAGAAATTCAGCACTTGTGGGGCTCAACTTGCTTTTCGAATGACATGCCCTGCATTTGCTTGACATGCCTTCTACATCAATAATTTTCCCAGTATCAATCGATATCAAAGACACGCAGCCATTCAATGAGGAATGCCCTCGCCTTTGCCACGTACCGTCACCTGACACACCACATTCAGTACTTCGCACAACACAACGCACTTCAGTAGCGGCATTCATCATTGATTTAGATGCAACATTCTCCGCAGCTTTACAAAGCTTTGCAGATATCTTTTGGTAGGCAGAATGCCAAGGCGGCGGCGGCATGTTCATGACTTTCGCCAGTGTCACAGCTCCAGAATACCCCTTGCCTAGCTGACGCATTGCGTATACCAGACGCAGGTTGTTCTCAATAGAACTTCCTGTCTTCTTTGATGATTCAAATGAGTGTACATATGCGCATGCACCACACACAACAGCATATGAGAAGGATATTCCATGCTGGGAGCACTCCTCCAGGCTCAGCGAGGTGTTCTTGCATTCCGGGCAGGCGAGCATTGCAAAAACAGATGAAAGGATCTCCATGTCAATAATCCTATTAACCTGCAGTAAAGGGTCTGGCATCGGCACTTCACAGTTGTCGTCCAAGTTCGCAAGCTTCGCAGCACTCGCCGATACATCCCCGTCCACATGGCCGACGGTCGGAGCATTCACAGTGTGTCGATTGCCAATGAACTTTCGTTTCAGCCGTCTTTTTATCCTGAACTTCGCCATACCTGCTTACAAAAACGTTCAGCCTATATTTGTACTACTGCTACTAAAGATATCACGTGTAAAAAATACAAACTACGCAGAATTAGCAGCAGCAGCATGAAGCGCACGCAAAGTAAACAACAGAGACTCTCGTAGCTTCACGCGTCCCCCTTACGGATATTTAATGCAACGTTTGAAAAAAACAGACTTCTAAGTTGTCTTTAAACAATTTTATAGTTATCAAACCAATACATAACAGAAAAATTACATTTGTCGCTGATGTTCGCTAACTTGTCAGTTTCTGTTAGCACACAACACTAGTTTCGGTTTCACAACCATTCACCACATGTTCGAAAATTGGCTATAACTTCGGAACTAAATAAGATAGAAACATAATTCTTTCAGCAAAATATTTTTGAATGATTGAAGATTCTTGGAATATTAAAATTAAAAAATGCGTTTTCAAAGTTGGTGACATACCTTAACTTCCAGATATCATAGCCCTCACTGCCTGGCTTAGGGCCGTTCTCACAACCCAAATAAAAGTTTGACATCACATGTTAGTCAATCGCGTATCCAGTAAACAGTTCGACAATCGTTCCAACACTAATGTGAGAGGAATGCCCCCTTGTCAACCAAGTGCCGTCATAGCACACGGCAATATTCTTTTTGCGCCCAAACCGCATTTCCTCTTATAACTCCTTTACTTCACTCGTGCACCGAGTCGTAACGGTCGTGACGGTTCGGGTGGCAGCCGATTCTTAAGTTTGTTTCAAGTGCCGTTGAATGGTCTTATTGTGCAGCCCCCGCCGAGACAGTCCCATCGCCGCGAAAATGTCGTTTGTGGCTGTTTGGCCGTTCCCACTGCAGAGCATCGCACTCGTGGATAAAATGTTTACTGCAAATGCATTGCAGGACTTATCACCATTGACTCGGCGCGAGTTCCATGCCGTCATGACTTCGCCACAACAGTCGCACTTCACGATCATTTTTTTAGCGAGGCTGTAGTCGCGGTCACCCATGACTAATTTTGCGAACCTGCCACATACACTGCAGCGTAGGGAAGCAGCAAGCAGCTCATTCAGGACTTCCATGTTAATCATCGCATACGGAGCTGCAGGGTCCGCGGCGGAGTCCGGTGACGCGTCGCTTACACCAGTGAAAACTGCAGTTTTTCGCGCTGTTGCTGATGTCCACTCAAGTCTATAAAGAATGTCCTGCTCACAAGCATTACTTGCGCTATTTCGCTGCTCGTGACAGCTCTAGCGTCGACTCGCACACGGCTAGAGCCGGCGCGAAGAATGCCGTCGTTCTTGGGCGGATCGCTGTCAGCTGGATCGCTGTCAGCTGCATCGCTGCGGGTCGCTTGCTGATCACTTGTAGAACCGCGCAATGGCATGCCCGCATTTTGCGGAATGCTATCACCAGCGCTGACGATATCGGATGCCCCGACACCGCGAGTCGCCTGCTCGTTGGTTGTAGTGCCTTTGTAGAGTGGACCAGTATCACCTCCATCGTCGTTATCGGGCGTCGAAGCAACGACGCCCGCTTGCTGATCGGTCGCGGCAACCCGTGACGTCATGCCATTAGCGCGTTTTTTCATTTTGGCTCACCTTCAGCTGAACTGATACTCCGAATGATGCGTTTTCGGTTCTCCAGGCATGTTCGTCGTATCACTGTAACCAAAGTCAAAATGGCGCCTCGAAAAAGCCAAGTTTTCACAGCCAACACTCTAAGCCATCAGATGGCGCCATTATAGCCATGTGATCTCAATTGGCCAATGACAACATTTTACGTGTATTTTTTTCTTTCTTTTTTAATTTTAAGAGGTGGCAAGCTCAGTGTTGCCCGACCGAGCGAGAAAAAAAGCCAAATGCGAGAGCTTTCCAACGATACCAAAATGGCTGCGTTCGAGCGGGCCGTTCACGAGTTACAGGCAGCCGAAATAAGAGCGATTTGTCCTCAATTTAAAGGGCTGGGAGTGTGCCAACGCATCTTTAATTTACTGTTATGCCGTTAATACGTGGTATTTTGCAACTAAAATTTGCAGACAGGTACGCGATGGTAGAAAGAATACAAAAGTAACACTTTTGAAAATTTGAATTTTGAGCAAATTTTCGGGTCCCAAAAGCCGTGTCTCCCCTTAAGTGCCGCGTTGCGAAGCGCTGCTCATAGCTGTTGACCACCTGGCAGCCAACTTGCCGCAATGGGCGTCACGGTATTGAGCTGTGGCGATGGTGAATATTTCGTGGGCGGCGTTGACGGCTACATACGCGCGAAACTGTTTTCCGACCTGGGAGAGCGGGTGGGACATCTGTTGCGATGGTTTAATTATGGCCGATGATGATGCCGACACTGCTAATCCGTGCACGAATTGGAGCATTGTGAATGAAGTACATGGCGAGAGCGATTTGGAAGGAATTGGATTGCAAGAACGATAATACTTTGGAGCCAGTGCCTCATGCAGCTTATGCCACGGGCCTCGGCGAACGAGCACTCTGCCATTTTAAATGAACTCGAGGCTGCCCTTATGGCTTCTGCTCTTCGAAACACGTGCATCACCGACTTTTTGGGGGCAAAAAAGTTTGTGTTTTCACTCGCAACTTTTTTTAAAAGATGTGTTTCATTTACTACGAACTTCAGGATACAGCGAACGGATGCCGCGTCACGCACAGGTTCATTATAAGCGGGCTCGACTGTACAGTGCAGAGCCACGCCAAAAATGAGTGAGAAGCTTGCCCCTGCCAGAAACCCAAGCCCTTGTTCTTTGTATTCATGTCTCGAGAGAAGCAGTATACTCCGGGAGGGTGTCGGTGTGATAGTCCTGGCAGTGTTTCCCAATGCAGGCTCGTGAGTTGACTGTGTTTGACATGTTCAAAGATTTATGAGAAAAACGTACCTTGCGGCTAAATTGGTCTACTTGTGGTCACATAGCACCACACAATCTTTCACATTGTGGTGCAACTGCTCCAACCTTCGGTTGGCCTGTGTTAGCATTTTTTTCTGGAAGAAGTATCCTGTCACTGCCATATGCTTTCCATGTGTATTAAGTCAGCTTCGTTTGTGCATGATGTGGCTACTACTTGCATTTCGCCAATCTCAAAAGGGCATGGTAACCATGATGTCATGCATGAACCTTTCCATTCGTTGTTAGGTTGGCTCAGCAGCCAATTCGGTGAGCAACAGCAGCTACCCCGTGGCACAGGTGGTGTCCTCCACAGACTCTCCTTCCGTCACAACCTCCAAGCCAGTTCCTGCACCCCAGCGGACAAAGACACCGAGAGTGCGGGTGCCGCCGCCATCGAAGGTTAGTGAGCTGCATGATAAGGTGCCCGGTCTTGGACTGAAAAATCATTCACCTTCAACTAAATCCGCACGGTCTAGTGGACTGTTCTTTGATAAGGAAATTGGAAGATTTCATGCATAATTCAAACATGATCCGGTCAAAAGCAATATTGAATCGTGGTTTTGGGCCTAGGAAAGAGCGATTGTGCATTTGTAAATCTGCCAACTTTCTCTACCGAAATGTCCAGAAAAGGGACATCATCAGTCTTCTGCACACAGTTGTTCTTGATGCTAATGATAATTGGTGTATAAGCTCGCATCTGAGTGATGCCCACTATTTCGAAGGTTACGCTTTTGATTACTATAAATGCAGGATCTGTTGATGTGCCACTTGCAGTAGTTGGACTATAGGCTTTTGACAATACACTTTTTCATTGCCCCACCCCTTCCCATTTGTTTGCACTGTGCCGTGTGGTCTGCAGAAGTTTGCTTTGTCACGCTGCAAGCACTGAGGATATCACTTTTTGCAGATACCGGAGTCAGCTGTGGAAATGCCAGAAGACAGTGCTGTGTCATCACTAGAAGTGCAGTTCGGTGGCCTCGAGTTTGGCACGGATACGTTTGACTTTGGGGCCAATGATGGCTTGGCAGCAGTTTCCACTGCACAACCCACGATGCCACCTGGGCTGGTTCAAACAGAGCAGTCATCAGTTGCTGCATCTGTTCCATCATCCACACCTTACATGGACGGGCATCACTCTGTCAGGTACGCTGAACTCGTGCATTGGTGAATTGGCCTTTGAAAACAAAAAAAATCGGAAAAATATAGATTTTTCGGAAACCACACATTATGAACATGTCATGAAACCACGTGTCATGAACTACAGTCAAACCCCGCTACAACGAAAATTTCGTTGTAGTGAAATTGAAAAAATATAGCTGATCTGAGCTAGCAAAACAAAGAAACGCTTATTCTCAGAATTCCAAAAGTGTCCGCTGCTTCCTATTCTTTCGCTGCAGCGTCACGACGCGATTCTCACCCATGCATAGCGAGGCCATGGTCGGGCGAAAGCGCGCCCGCCATTGGCTGGAAGCGGAGGTTCTCCCTCCCGGCGATGGCAGGTTCGGCGCACTCATCTCGCTCTTATGCTCTGCTCCGTCCGCCTCGATAGACATTTGCTGAAGAGCCGCTTTTTGCCTTGCGCTGTAGTTTCGATCAGTTTCTCTTCTTTTTTCTTTTGCACAAGTTCTGTGCCCTTTATCTTTGTTGCTGTGCGTGATGCCGGCAACGAAGCTGAATACGGTGCACTAGTTTGAAGCACGGATGCTTATGCGGCTTCTACGAGAATCGAAATTCCTCTTTTCTGCTGCAAGTGCCCAGTGCGTAGATGCATGCAGCGGCGAAACTGTGCTGTCGACGGCCACCAGTCCAGAATTCGACGAATCGCATGTACCTGGAGCTGCGAATGCATCGAGCGCATCCGAGATCGCCAGATCCAGCACGTGCTCTGAATTGGTGTCGTCGAGCGTGACACCGATTGTTGCTGAGATCGCCAGACACAGCACTTCGTCTGCATCGGGGCTGATAGCATGTATGGGCCGTCGTCCCTTCATCTGCTGACGCATTTTTTGACTTGGGAAGAAATCGATGCGAATGCGAGACGCTTTGCGCGCTGAACTCAAATCTACGCCAGCGATACAGAAAAAATTTGAACTGATACAGCCAGCTGTTGAAAGAAATGCCCTACACCTGAAAAAACATTCCAAACGGCACTTAAAGAAGAGAGAGGGAAGACAAAAGAGGAAAAGAGTGCACAAGGACATTTCCAGCTACTATGCTAGAGCTTTTTGAGAAAAACACGTGCTCAACTTTCAAAGCCCGTTTGCTCAAAATTGATTTTTTAGCTAGTTATGGTGCTCAGGAAAGCGATTTCTCAAGAACTCCTGATCAGATTTGTGTGCCGTTTCTTTTATTTTACTGCTGGATAATTTTACCTGGGTATAACAAGCTTTTTTTAATTGGTGTCATTAATTAATAATAAACAATTATTTTGGATAAATGTCATACCTTCTGGCTACATCAAAGTCAAAGTTGCATGAAATTTTTTTCGAGGGGAAATTGTAAAAAGTGGCTTTTTAGTGCCCTAGGATATCTATCCAGGCATGACCACAAATAATTTCAGCCTTCTGGTATGTCCTGACATTTCTTCTGGCTCTTCCTCAGGCACACAAGTGAACCATTCAGTTACACTTCAGTAACTCTAGAACCCCTGAACACAATTTCATGAAACTTTGCAGTTTTTCTAGTTTCATTGTATTGAATACAGTTGAGCCCACATATAACGGCCCCACTTGAAGCGAACTATCGCTTCAAACGAACAATATTCGCGTGAATGTGAAAATATACATTGGTTCAATGGCACAAAATCGCACTTACAACGAACGACTCCGAGCACCGCTGATCAGTTACAGCGAATGGAGTCAGCAGTCTGCCGGCTTCCCAAGGAACTACCGTATTTACTCGCATAATCCTTGCACTTTTTTTTTTTTTTTTTTGCCAGAAAGCGATGCAAGGTTGGGGGGGTGCGAGAATTACGCGGGGAAAACTTTCCACGAAAACATAGAGAGCGAAAAAGAAAACGAAGTGGCCGCAAATCGGGATTCTCACGCCAGCAACTTACAGCAAGCTTTAAGATGTTCTAATTAGAACTTACCTCAACAATAAAAGCAGAGGTTCAACATAAGACAAGATTTATTCAAGACACAAAAAGTGGAAGACAGTAAAATCTTGATGATACGAATCTCACGGGGTCACGAAAAATATTCGTATTAGCCGAAATTCGTATCATCGAAACAAATAAAACTAGCTAAATTAACAGTCAGACGTGAACTTATCCAGGCACAAGTACGTAAAAGCATTTATTTCTTGTTGAAAAAGTCTCTGTCCTTCTGCCTTTTTTTCTTCGCCAGGTCACCTAGCAGACTTTGTTCGAAAGCATAAAAACGCGTGCCTGTGTCGTCGCTGACTTCATCCGCGGCCACAGCGCGCCTCAGAACGTCGAGCGCGTGCAGTGTTTCAGCCGCCGGTGGTGGTCCTTCGACGTCGCCCCTGTCTATGTCGTCGCCATCATCGCTGGAATCGGCAGCCTCGCACGTGGCCTCCTCAACAATATCTTCGACCGTGCGCACACCGCAGGTGGCGAGATTGTCATCTCCCGTGCAAAAATCATCAGATGTGCACTTGACGTTGAGCTGTTCCCAGTCCTCAATTGGATCTTTCGGCCCGGGGGGCACCTCTTCTAGACTACCGAAGAAGCCGCATTTGCCAAAGCAGTTCGCTACGGTAGTCGAAGTTACCCGATCCCATGCCATAGCTATAAAATGGATGGCGTCCAAGAGGCTTATTTTCAGGTCACCTTCGTCCTTCGGGTCAATTTTTGTGAGCAGGCGACGCACAAGAAGGCTCTTAAAATGGTGCTTCACATTCTTAATAATCTCAGCGTCAAGGGTTTGCAGGTGCGTCGTCGCGTTTGCGGGTAAAAAGACGAGTTTGACGTTCTGAAGCGTTACTTGCCTCGAGTGGGTGGCGCACTGGTCAAGAAAAAGAAGAATATTCAGATTCTTACAAGCCATCCTCCTGTCAAGGAGTGACAGAAACTCTTCAAACAACGCCGCCGTCATCCACGCCTTTTTGTTTGCGCGATAGACTCTCGCGCTTGAAGCACCGGGGCTTTTGGAACTTTCCAACTACGGTCAGCTTAAGCTTTTTCGATCCGTCGGCGTTACAGCACAACAGCACAGTAATACGCTCTTTGCTTTTTTCGCCTCCTATGCATGCTTCGCCTTTTATACAGAGGCTCTTTTCGGGTTGCAGGTTAAAAAAAAGAGACCTGCCTCATCAGCATTAAAACATCACGAGGCTCATACTCTGCAATGAGTGACGGCAGCTTCTCTAACCAGTTGCTGACAACTGCCTCGTCAGCTTTTTTCGCTTCGCCGCAAACGCTTTTGTAAACGAAAGCTTGCCTAGTCTTGAAGCGCTGCAGCCACCCACCTGAGGCCTGAAATCCGTCGATGTGCAGAGCAAGTGCAAACTCTTCGGCTTTCTCCCGCAAAACCTTGCCATCGATATTTACGCCAGCTGCGGTTACTTCTTAAAACCAAGTCAGGAGAGTCTCTTCAAGTTTCATGTGCTGAGCGGTCTTTGCTTGCTTTGCGTTGTCGTTGAACGAAAGCACGTTTTTCATTATGGTCTCTCGCTGTCCAACAACTGTGCTCAGTGTTGACGTTGTAAGGCCTAGTTCCTTAGCCAACTCCGTCCGCTTTCTCTTAAGATCCTCATCGACCTTTCGAAGGATGTCTAATTTCTCCTTAAAGGAGAGCGCTTTTCGCTTGCGAGGCATAGCTCGTTGCGACTAGGCAAAATGGCACAAACGTAAAGAACGCGGCCCGAAGCACAGCACTGCAGCCACTCCGTCCAACACCACGCAGAGAAAAAGGAAAAGCACAACAGCAACAAAAGCGTCGCCACTCCAAACTCGTTGGGCCTTGCCCCGCCCCGCGTCGTCGTGTCCGCGTCGTCGCACCCAAAAAGAGGGAGAAAGGAAACCGTCGCCAGTGCCATCTCTAAACCTAAACCGAAATCAAAGGGCGCAAGCGGTTTCTGAGGTCTCCGATATTGCGCACGTCGCTCGCCGATGTTGGAGGCCGCCACGTGCTACTGGCAGGCACCGTTGGCAAAATGCCAAATCGGCGCGCGACTGAGCGCTGTTCTATTTCGCAGTCGTCAGTGGGGCGGCGTTCATTCGTATGGAACGACGCGGGCAGAAAACTGATTCGTAACAAACGTACTCTAGCGCATTGCAAAGTAATGGGGCTCGGCAGGGACCACAGCAAAATTCGTATCATCCGGAAATTCACATTAGCCGTGATCGTATCATCGAGATTCCACTATAGTCGAGATTCCACTGCAAAGCTTGTGGGCATAGCGGTAGCATTTGTCGCTCAACAAGAGCCCTCAAAAGGTAAGCGTAGGACGTCAGTATTGGGCGGATGGCTATTTAACAGAATCGTCCGCAATTTCCTTCTGAAGAAATAAAGTTTACCATCAATCCCAGTTTTAGGCACACTGCAAGCACAACGCGTCTTGGTGGCTTTCAGCTGTCGTCACCAGTAGCGAACACAAAACTCGTAGGCTCCAAAGGGCCTACCAGCAGCCCTGTTGCCGTTGTTTAGTGCATGATCCATCACTTGCAACTTCAACCAGCCGTGTAGCTTCAGTATCACCCCATCACGTGCCAAGATTACTGACACAACAAACAAAACCCCGCCGCAACGCGCACTGGCCACTTCGGCTTGGATTGAATCTCCGTGCTTTAGAACACTGGATGCTTAAGGGGGGAGGCTACCATCGGATACCAACTTTTTTGTTTATTGAGATATCTTAATGAAATTTTCAGGATAGACTTATAGCAAAAGCATTAGAAGAACTACAAAATTTCATCAAGTTATGTTCACTGGTTTTCAAGTTACAGCAGAATATCAGGGTAGTGCACATGGTTCTCTTATTCCAGGCCTGGAGAACTTTCAAAAGGTGCTGGAACTGTGAAATAAACTATGATGATTCCCAGATTGATACTTCAGGGGGTAACAGAGCCCTTTTTTTGAATTTCCTTGCTGAAAAGTTTTAGCAGACCATCAAACTTTGTGTTCGTGATTAGGATATTATCAATCAAATTTTGATTAAATATAATAAATAACACAAAC